TTATTATTAAGGGTACTGACTGACACCTCTCTCAGAGTTACATAGTTGAAGAACGTTCTATTGAAGACTGAAACCAGAATCTTGACCCAGCAGGGCCGGAACTGGGTTTACAGCCAGTTCGTGGTGTGTTATAAGTTAGGTCTAAATGCTGAAACTTTTCTCTCAGTCTGTGTCATTGTGTCATCCTTCTTCTTTTTTTTTCGTTTTTGTTTTGCTTTTTCTTTACGTTTGTTTTTAAACTTGAGCGGAGTCGATATGTCGGTTAATGAAAAGGAAAATACGCTGAAAGTGAACAAACGATAAAGGTGATGTAGAACAAGCAGAAGCATGGTTTGGCTAAACAAGATTCGTTCTTACAGTTCCCTATCATGACAAAGCCTCATCAATGTCGTAATTTTGCTATATTCGGAATAACCTTTGACCTTGTCTATCCTTTAGAGCCTATTATGGAAGTCAAACAACAAAGAAGGGACAGCACTTAGGGAATCTATATCTTCTATATTAATTAAGTACTGCCCAGGCACAGCTGGAGCATACATACCACTTTAAGATCGTCTTTTATGACACAGGGGTTTAATCACAAATTATTCTCCTCAATAGCAGGACATATTTTCTGAAACAAAGTCTAAGTATTGCTCTGCGGATATTAGACATGTTCTGTCCAAGAACAGCAGAGCTTCCATGTCGTGACATAGCCAGGACGGCGTACTGGGAACATTTCTATTATAACGCCAGTCACGAAAAATCCTGTATTGAAGCACAAAGACCGCCAGAGACAGAATCCACATTTTTAAATTTAGTCCAGTGTGAAAGCGGCGATAAAGATGACCATCCCCTCCACAAACTCTGTTCGCCTACAGGACGTTCTATATCTCTTCCTAAAACAATTAAAAAGACAGGATTGTCACGTTCATGAAACCGACGGTAATAACAATATTATTATAAGCTAAACTATAATTTCTGATTACAGCTTCATATTATTATGTTAATGCGATGTCTGACACTTTCACTATTTTATGGTTTTTCTTAAATCAAGATATCACGCTATGGAGATATGATGTCGTTTCTTACAGTGTATTTATACATTTTTAGCATTCTTTAAAAAAAGAGGCAATCTATCTTTTTAGAGTTTCAAATGAAACAGTACAGGAATTAACAGCATATATCTCTTTAAATATTACAAAATAGATTGTGCCGCCAGCTTTTATAAATCTCTTTCAATCTACTATACAAAATAGGAACTAAGTTTGGTTGTTAATGACTTCTCTTAGGTCAAAATCTGATTTGTTCGGTTCGCTGCAGCTTACAGTTTCAAGAATTTTTGGCCGCTCGGGGGTGAGATTAGGTCTAAGTATCACAGCAACGGGATTGTTCGAAGTTCGAATCCGTGAAGGGTCCGAACCTGTCTCATCCTTTTTTTTTAACATCTGAATCTTCCCTCAACGTCAGAACTCCAGGAGAAACGAAATGCTACGTCATCGAATTGACCAAATCCGAAATCCAGCGGGAACTTAAAGGTCAACAAGTTCAACAAGTTCAACCCGAATAATACTTCAACAACAAGTATCACTTTCAACACCTGAGAGATACGGCGTTGTCTTACCTTCACTGGTTTGGGTGATCTCAGTTTAATTTCCACCTCGTTGATGTCAAGGGAGAATTCTGGACTGGAGTGACTTTGGGCCTGCAAGTTCAACTCGGCAAACTTTGGTTGCGAACCCAGGTAGCCAGCGGGTAATTCCGGACGCTCGGCTGCCATTTTGCTGGACAAGTCGGGAGACAGAGGACTACAGGTCACGGATGGAAGGAACGAAAGGAGTAGGAGGGAGAGGGAGGAATATGCACGAAGGGAAGACGACTGGAGGGGAGAGTGACGAGGGAGGAACACAGGGTCTGCAAGATGTCCGCGTCCTCGGCGCCTCGGTGAAATGATCCAGCTACTGGGGCGTGCGGTTTGTTGGGGGGTACGCGGCACCAGCGGGTGAGGCGCGCGCGCGCGGGTGCGCGTGTGCGCGTGTGCGCGTGTGCGCGGGCGCGTGGTATGGGAAGCGGCGTTGTTGGGGGTTTGTCGCTGGCAGTGGCGGCAAGGTTTGGCGGGTAGTGGTGGGCAAAATCCGGATAATCTATCCGGATAACCGGATAATTCAACAATGAAACATTATCCGAATTTAGACTCTATAATTCCCTTTCCTGACCCGTTTGCCGAAATGGGTGGACCTATTTGTTGAAGTGATGCTGACCCGTTTTTTCGAAGTGGTTCTAACACATTTGCCGAAGCTGTTCATAACACATTTAATCGCTGAAGAGGTGCACAACCATAATTCTATTATCCGGAAGTTGCTAAAGCGACTCATTGCCCAGCCCTATTGGCGGGTTGTACGGGGTATGAGGGGGCCGGGCCAGGGGCACGTGCGTAGAGAGCTGTGCTCACTCACTCGATTTTGTCATTCAACATTCTCGACTTTTACGCTATTCGCAGCTATTCGAAACGCAGCAGGTATAATATCTTTTGAATGTCATCGATCTGTGTGTGTGTGGGGGGGGGG